AAAAAAAAAAAAATCTGGTAGTAAAGTCTCGGCATGTTCATGGGAAGCAAGGTGGCACCCTTCACTAGTAAGGTGTATGTATGTTTTGTGGGAGCCCCATTTAAGGAACCTATTGCGTGGATCCTATTTAGCACCCTTTTTTATTACTACTAAAGGGTATCTTATGGGAGTCCACTCAAGGGATCTGCTTCTCGGATCTTTCCAAGGGTCTGGGATCAGGGTGCCTAGCAAGGAAAAGTCAGAGGATCCTGTGAGGATGCCTTTGGGGACTCCTATCAAAGATTAATAGAGCAGCCTAAATAATTACCAATATTGCTCCCTAGGGTTCCTTATTATAAGTATAGCATAGTATACCCCAAAAACCCTATGCTACTTATTCAGGCCTCTACATTACTTCTTTAAGGCTTCCTATGGAGGATTCCTGCTTGAAGGCTTCCTCAGGGGCTATTCTCAAGATGCCCATAGGGTACCCTCAAGGATTTCCTGCAAGTGTTGGTAGAAGGGCTTTGGTAAGGCTTCCCATGAGAGTGCGTCTTGGGTTTTTGCGAGAGTTGAGGGCGACGGTTCTGCTTTCCGGAGTTTTGGTTTTTTACTGTTGAACCGAAAAGTAAGCAATGTGTGCAAGTTCTGGATTTTAGCCTCTGTTGGTCATCGAAGGAAGTGTGGTGCTGAGGTCGTGCCGGACGAGCCAGAGCCTGTGCCGGTGTTCCCAGCCAACAACGCCGCGCTCTCGATACCGTTTTCCACATCTTTTGTGCGGCTCCGCCGAACTTAAAACCCGAGCCCCAAGCCCTAAACTCTATAAACCCTAAGCACTGAACCGTTGGAGGCCACAATCTCCGGACCCAGACCCCAAGATCGAAGTGCAAGAGCAGACACATTGCTGGTGCATTCTGCTTCGGAATGCCAACATATCGTCAACCTGGTGTTTTCTTGACGAGCCTGCATGTCTTCAGTTTGTGAAGATGTGAACCCGGCCACCATCTCATGAACAGCCCCGGCTTCAATGCTCTAGTTGTGTAATCACCCGAAAATATCGGAAGCTCCTGCCAGGAGTGGGGGGAATGAGTGCATGTGATTATGTACCATTTCACGGTTTAGAACATTTAAGCATTGAAGGTTTCGGGCTTCAAGGGGATTGCAAGAGTCCTGGATGCAAAAAAAAGGGAGCGCACCCCAAGCATCTCCAGGAAGCGAAGCAAAAGCCTCCCCCAACCATCCTGGACCTAGTGGTCGTTGAGTGGGTTCTCGACCCAAAAGACTGAAATAAAACAGTGCCAAGTCGAAAGGCAAACCCCTAACCCATAGGCTTAATACCCTAAGACCTAAACTGAGTTGCCTTTACAAACTAGATCCGCACCCAATAGAGCTGCCTAAAGCTTACACACCCCCAAACCCCAAACCCTGAGCCCGAGGAAGCTTGTCTAATGTAGGGGCCTAAATAAGTACCTGCTATTTTGGTTTTCCTGAGTATAGTTACAGTATAATATACCCCAAAACCCTATTCTAATTATTAAGGCCCCAAAATTTAATCCCCACCCTGGCGAGCTAGGTCTTCGGCTTTCAACGTCACGACCTATCAGCCAGGGGTTCGAGACATGGCAGAAGACTGAACGGGGAGGATTGCTAGGGTTGGGGGTTTAGGGTTTAGGGGGAGATCCTACATAGGGCGGAGTCGCTTTATAGAGTCGTAGAGAAGTGTTCACAGGCTGAGTGACAAGGACAAGTAATCTGAGAGAAAGACAGCCATGCAAGCACGCTCACGCACATTCAGACACAGATGCAAGCACACTCTCGCAGACTCACACGCCTCTCTTTCTTAAAAGCCATTCACAGAGTCCCAGCACCTGGCGACGGCAGTACGTAATGGTTCAGTTTCCCTAATTCAGTTTCTTGCCCGAGGAATCCTGCACATCGCGCCCCGGTCGTTCCTACCCTACCGTGACTCCACTTCTGGAAAGCCTCACATCATTCACCTCACGGTCGGAGGCGGGCTTGGCGGAAGCAGGGTTTAGGGTGTTTTCGGGCTTAGGCTTTAGCTACCTCCACCCCCCAAAGTAGGTAGAATAATGACCCAATAGCTATAAAAAGGCTTTTATTCTACGTACTTTTGGGGTCCAGGTAGGGGCCTCTAGGCTCTTCTAGGGCAACCAGCGAAGAGCCAGTAGTGAAAAGGACGTCATTTTCTAGGGTTTGAGGAACTCCTGTATGGTCGGATTTGGAAGTTTTGGGCCTTAGGCTTGCGCCCCCAAATACGTAGTCCGTGAAGTGCCATGTCCACGCCTGTTAGATAGCTGGCTCCTAAATAGCAGCTGCTAAAAGGAATGCCCCTTTACCGCGCCCACGGCTGCATGGCCCCAAGCCTCCAAAGCGATAACAACTCATAATTCACCCCCGTCTAAAATTATGATGGGGCAACTTGTAGATGCTTCCAGTTTCCCGCAAAAGAGCATGCTCTGCGAAACAACCGAATTAATGTGCTAGAGTATTCTTGTAGAACAGAGGTGCAGACAGTATAGTGTGGTAAGGTGTAGTGGGTGTTATATGGCAGTATGATGTAGTATGCAATGCTACAAATTGTTGCACAGGTATAGTCACAGATATAGGTCTGTAGACATGCCAGCGCTTCTGCCGTCAGTAACCCCAAGATCATGATACTCCATGTGTGAAACCGCATCAGCAGGATATTGTGCATGTTGTATGCAGTTCCACCGCAGGTCCGCGATGCAAGATACATGTATGTATGCATGTAGGCGTAGATATGAATGTATCTATCTGCCTTTCTATCTATCCATCTATTGATATATCTATCTACCTGTCTATCTATCTATCTATCTATCTATCTATCTGTTTGTCTATCTATCTGTCGATATATCTATCTATCTATCTATCTGTCTGTCTGTCTGTCTATCTAACGATCTATCGATCTATCGATCGATCTGTCTATCTATCTTTCTACCTGTCTATCTATCTATCTATCTATCTACCTATCTATATACATACAGCATATCTATCTATCTATCCATCGATGTATCGATCTATCTATCGTTCATACTTCTTCCTATCTCTCCTGTCTAACTATGTATCTATCTATCTATCTATCTATCTATCTATCTTCCTATCTACCTACCTACCTATCTATCTGTCGGTCTATCTATCGATCTCAATATCTACCTATCTATCTCTACATACATTCAGTTTCCTTCAACAAACTTAGATATACATAGCTATCTCTTCTTTATATAATACCGCCATCAACGTGTGTTCTCAGTCCTCATCCTTGCAAGGCTTGCGCTTAGTTCCTGTCAAAGTCCTGTTCCCAAAGTAGACCAGCGCTGAAGTCTTCCTTTAAGTCCTTACTTCCTGCACACGCCACATCTGACCCATTCCTCAGCGTTCCTGATTATATCTATACTCTAACACACCCATTGTTGAGGTGCCTATGCACCCTACTATCAAACTCTGACAGAAGTTCTTACGGAACCCTTAAAGGAACCCTGCAGAACAGCATGCCCAAAGCATTACTAACTCGAAGCCCCAAGCCCTAAAAAATTATTCCATAAATACCATGAGACCCTAGAGAAGTGGTTTAGTGCTCAAGAGCTAAGGGCTTGTGCCTGAGGCCTCATGTCTAGGGTGAAGGGCCAGTTCCGAAAGCCTGAAAGGCTTAAACCCTGAAAGCAGGCCCCGGAACCCTTTAAAGGAGCCCCATAGTAGCCTTACAGAGCTCTGAAACCCTAAATCCTAAACCCTGAACCTTTTACAGGAGCTCTATAGTGGCCCTATAGAGCTCTGAATTCAGGTTTGTCGGAGACCATCCACAGCTGTGTCGTCCGCTTTGGCGAGGTGGAGGCCAATGCGACGCGAGCTTGGGCCTTGGGTTCGGCTGGCTTGCGGCTAGGGTTTAGGGTTTAGGGTTTTGAGGTTACAGGGTTTAGGGTGCTTAGGGTTTAGGGGTTTTAGGGTTTAGGGTCTTAAGGTTTAGGTTGTTTCGGGTTCAGGGTTTTATAAGGCTTAGCGGTTTAGGGCTTTAGGGCTTTAGGGCTAGAGGTCTGGCATCTTTTCAGTGTTTAAGAGTGGAATCCGGGGTACTAATGCAGGGGCCGAAAGAATTACCAACACTATTGTGGGGGCTCCTTGTTATGATTTTCGTGTAATATACCCCCAAACCCTTTTCTAATTATTAAGGCTCTATACTATGCTCCTGTCCTTTTGTTTTGGAGTTGGTTCTCCAGTTTGGAACCAGAGTGGAACATAAGTGGTGTGATGCATTTTGCGACTGTTTCAGAGTCCGGTAATTCGCGGTTCAAGACTGTTTTGTTGTGTGTGTTCTTCGTTCGCGGTGTTGCTCTTGTTTCTAGTACTTCAGATGAGTGGGTGTTGTGGTTGGAGGCCTCGTTACAAAAAACAGTAGTCCAGTGTTGAGGTGTGTGAGTGTTTGTCTCCGCAAAGCGTGCCCCTCCCCGAAAATAAGGGACCCTAATATAGCAACCTAAATAATAGGATCCCTATTATAAGGACCCCCCCAAAAATAAGGTACCCTAATTTTTTGAATCTCCCCAGATACTGTTGATCGACACACCGTGGGCTGACAGGTCAGCGAGTCTGTCAGAAATCTCCAGTATCAAGTCAGCCGGGGAGGCTTTCTGCAAAACTTTTTATGGGTGGTTGTCAAAATTAGGGTCCCTTTGGGGTACCCTAAATACTAGGTGCCGTATTATATTAGGGACCCAAAAAGGGACCCTAATTTTGACAACCACCCATATGTGACAGGTCCTGGCTTCTGCAACCCTTGTCTAGTTTTGTCCAGGGTTTACTGTTCTGCAAGCTTTCAAAGCTGAGGTGGCCAATTCGTCTCTGATCGAAGCCATTGTCCCACCGGCCTTCGCGAACATCACCGTGCCCTTGCATATCTACTGCGGTCAGGACCACCGGCTCGGTAGTGCCTACGATTAAGATTTCGGACGACTTGCGTGATTCTGTTATCCTACCTATAGTCTTCATCGTAGTTCCTTTTTCGGGCTACCTTGTAGCATCACAAACATACAACCGGCTAAACCAAAAATGGAACTACCACGGAGACTAAGCGTAAATGTTTGAGATGGCCAGCAGGCGGAGCGGGGTCTCAGCTGGAATGTGGTTGAACCAGATCAAGATTTTAACAATGCTCGTCCTCAATACGACCCCGAAGCCCTCAAACCCGACAAAAACTTCTAAACCATGGCTTCGAGAATCGCAGGTCGAAAGTCCAGCGTGTGTTTTTTGTTTGTTCGGAGTTTGTTTCTCAAGGTCTGGTGCTTATAAGTTTGGTTTCAAGTCCCCTAATATGAGTTATAACTGTTGTTACCCTACTTATCACCCACTTATAACTACCCAAGAACCTCCAAGTAAACCCTAAACCCTTGACTTGACTGGCCTAGATCCTCTGCCGCTGAGCATGAATTTCGAGTGGTGACGCCCAGAGACCGCCGGCTATACCGAAGCCTACTGCATGAGCAGTGCGCTCTACACCCTCATCTCCTATACACCCAAAACTTTAACCTCCCTCGGTTAGACCCTACTTACCCATTATACCATATACACCCCCAATTTCCCCAACTTCCCCAAATAATGTCATCGTCATACCCTTATCGGAGCCCTGTTAGGAGTCCCCTAGCCCTACACCTTATAATACCCTCAAAAGGAGCCATTTTTGGCATCCCTCAACCCTAAACCCCAAACCCTAAACCCTAAACCCCTAAACCCTAAACCCCTAAACCCTACCCTAAACCTGTCAGGAGCGCCTGCAGGTCACCTATCCTCAGACCTGGAACTTCCGGTACGTTTTCTTGTGCGGAGCCCAGATGTAAGGCTTACAGATGTTTTGCAGTACCCATAGGCCCTAAAGTAGTTCCCTTTTGGGGTTCAGATTTAGAGTTCTATAAGGTAACCCCAAAAAGGAACTACTATGGGGCCTATGGGTACAGATGTTTGCTGTAGGGCCACCTTGCACGAGGCCGTTGGACATTCTTGCGCTTCGCTCCGGCTTTAGACTCGACTGCACATTACAACTGGCTTTGGGCATTTCTGTTGCAGAATTGCCACCAGCAGGCTTCTCACCGCCAAGACCCCTGTTTAGTCTGGGGGATGGCGCGAGTTCCTGGTTCCCAGTCCGCGAACTTGAATGCATCAACCTGACACCAAAAGTGAGTCGCGTGTGCTTTTGCCCGCATGCAAGGGCGTCCAGGCACTCGCACCGGCAGCTTACAATTCTTAAATCCTAGACCCGATACATGTATGAGGGAGCCTTTCCACGGCTTGGAATGATACAAGTAATGCCACCTTGGGGATCGACTATGGTAGGAATAATCCTTTAATGGGTGGGTTAGTGGTAGGCTGGTGGTACTATTACCCAAACCGGCCAAAGGTGTCGCCAACTTTATGTAGTCAGTACACTACAACCTAAACCCTATTCCCGAAGCATTGACCTACACCCCACAAGCCTAGTTCTTCAAGGTGTACATGTCTAAGTGAAAGCCGTGAGAAAACCTATTCTGAATAAGCCCTGAGATTCTAGCATTTCAACCCCAAACCCGATCCCTAAACCCTAAACCCGAACCACTGCGTAAAGGGAGTTTGAGCCTGCCCCCTCTCGGGCTTTGGAGCGCAAGCGACGAAAAAGGTCCTAAAAAAAACGAAGCAATCTACTGTCTCTCAACTTTAGGGTTTAGGGTTTAGGGTTTAGGGTTTAGGGCTGCGTTTCAGAGGCCAGAGGTCCACGCAGTCGATCCGGAGGAGGCTCTGGGGCTTTCTGGCGGGCTTTGGAAAGGGTTTAGGGTTTAGGGTTGCCCAAAACCTCAAAACCCTAAACCCTGTGTTGGGTTTAGGGGTTTAAGGGTTTAGGGTTTGCAGTCACTGCTCAAAAAAAGGGTTTAGGCAAGAAACCTAAACCCTAAACCCCTAGACCCAGAACATGTGCAGGCCGATGCCCAGAGCAGAGAGTGGTTGACGCTCCACGGTCGCTACTTCGAAGACTTCCCAGGCGACCTGAGTTGGGTTTCCTTTTTTTGTCAGGGTTTAGGGTTTAGGGTTTAGGGTGAGTTGGGTTTTCTGGTTTTGTTAGGGTTAGGGGGTTAGGGAAAATATGTTGGTCGTTGGACTCCTTTGAATTTTGATTTATATATTTACTTATTCAGATGTATATATATATATATATATTCACATATTTATTCATTCATTCATATACATATATGTATATATACATTTATTGAACAGTGCCACAGAAGGTTCTTACAAGTGCGTGTTGAGGGTTTTCGGCCGTCAGAGTGGGCCATGCTGCATGGCATGATGAGAGCTTTCCGTGTTCACGACTCACAATGGCGATCCGGCAGCCAACCAGCAGCAGCCCAAAACCTCCAAACGTTAGGGTTTAGATAGGGTTGAGGTTTAGGGCCGCAAGTGCGAACAACAGAGCCTGCGTGCGTTAGGATCTGGAGACTTTGTCCGGATACGGATAAAGACGTTACGTTCCATGCCGACCACAAGTCCCAAAATCCTGGAACCTTCCAGAAAAGGAGCATGCCCTCGTTAGATCAAGCCCCCAGCAAGACTTGCGGATACTGCCGTACAGTTGGAAACGCATTGTTCTCCAAGCCCAAAAAGCAAACCATAGGGAATACCAGCACTTACCGCCCGTACCTGCAAAGCCTCAAGATTCTTCAAGCTGTAGTGCCAGTGCTCCTGCTTTTGCTCATCAACTTGAAGCAATCCCCGAAACAGTACTTACAAACCCTCAAAAAATCAATGATACAGCCTCAATCTCTAAACCCTACTTACTAATCTCCTCCGGCACAATCCTACAGACCTAAGAAGCCAGGCCGGGCGTGCATGATCGGAGGCCAGCTGGTTCAGAACGTGGCTGTGCGCTGGCTGAGCTTCTGGCCTGCATGGGGAAGAAGCATCGACCCTCCAGTTACCCTCTGCTAAGATTATCAGGGCCTAAATACCTACTATTTTACCTTCTACTAGGATTATTATAGGGCCTAAACACTTAATTATTATTATTTTAGCCCCTACTAGGATTATTCGGGCAGAAATACCTTTATTTGGGGCTCATTTAAGGGCACAAAGAGGGTCCTGGAGGGTTGTTGTTCCTGGAGTGCGAAATCGGGGTTGTCGGGGTCTCAAGGCTTGGAGGCATGGTTTGACGGTTTTAGCCAATTCGGGTCGAGCGGCTTGAAGGCTCAGAGGGCTTTCGTGCACATCAGGGGCTTTCAACACGAGGTTAACTGGTGTAGGGTGTGCCTGCAGAGCTGTTCCTCCGGACTAAGAAAAAGCCTAGACCCGAAACCCATGACGTGCAATTAGGGCATTGCTTCGCATCATGTATTTCTTTGTTCCAGTCGCTTGGCCCTCCAGGCCCGGAAGCCTGAACCCACAAGCAAGCACGACATCACGGAAGTGAATTCCTCAAACCACCCCAAAGTAGGTGAAATAATGGCCCAAGACCCACAAAAATGCTATTCTTTTACATAAAGTAGGTAAAATAATGGCCCAAGACCCATAAAAAATGCTATTATTTTACATACTTTTGGGGGCCCAGGGTGACCCCAAATTTGGACGGCTGCTTATTTGGAATCTCAGGTTCCAGCATGGTCCAATGCCGCATGCCACTCTGGAAACAGGTGCCGATCGAGGGGAGTTTAGGGTTTTTTGGGTTTAGGGTTTAGGGGACTTAACGTGTATTGGAGTTCACGTGTGGCCATCAAGCTCGCCCCTCGGATGTGTAAGACAACAGCCTGACTTCGGCCTAACTGTACGAAAACTGGTGTCTGATGAAAAGAACCGTAAAATGGAACACCAACTTCCATAGAGGTTTCGTTTGTCATCATCTTGCAGCGGGTGTCACATCTTTCCGAACGACCGGCAGCACGTTGGCAATAGCCCTGAATTTGCTGCGCAGTAGCAGAAGCTGAGCGGATAGAAGAAGTCGTGCGACGAATTGAGTAGCAGGGACGGTTTGGGTAGTGTTTGCAGCTGGTCGTGGTCGTGGTGGTAGCGGTAGAAGCTGTGCACCACCTCCACAACGATGACGAAGACGACGCCGTAGGTCTTTAGCAACGCCAGAAAGGCGCATGCTAGCAACAAGAACAATGTCACAGCAAAGAAGGACGCGCCGCTTCTGACTGTCGCCTACTCCAACGATGGATCATACTTCTCCAGCGAGGTCGTTGTCGTGAACACCTGGGTCCGTATCCCAACTGCACACTTGAAACACACGCCCAAATTTCGAGGACATCTGTGCCCTTCAAGCTCAACCCCTTCAAGCCCGACATCAGATGCCCTAAGCACTTCAAGCTTAAAGCAATGTGTTTGGGGCTCCGGGTTTCATTAGACGTCCCTGGAGCCTGGAGGATGACTCCCCCGGGCGGTCTCCGGGCTTCTCATGCAAGCATCTCTGTGACATTCCATCATATCGTGTAGGATTTGGCAGTCTACTTTGAGCCGTTGGAGTGTATGATAGTGTATATGTCATGCAGATGTCTCTCAGTTCTGCAGCTTGTGGGATCGGCTGCAGCCTACCCGTTGGCTGCGTCTTATCACACGACACGTTGCAGTCGAACCTGGACGGCTCGAATTGAAGTTGGACTCGGTCTCCAGGTGTGATTGTGTTTAGGGTTTGGGATCGCTAGGGAAACACAGCCAGAGAGACAGAGGGAGAGAGAGAGAGACAGCGCGAGCGAGAGCAATCCAGCCATGCGGAGAAAGTCCGGCATTTATTTCATTGCGTGGTGTTTATGCATATGTACAAACACAGCTAATAACACCACACACACACACACACATATATATATATATATACATGCATAAATACAGGCAAACACTGAGAGAGAGAGAGAAAGGGAGAGAGATAGAGAGAGAATGAGACAGATTAGATTATGGCTGGAGGGAAAGCCATCAATCATGCACAGCGAGCAAAGCCTCAGGTATCCGCCTCTTCGATGTTCAGCCTCGCACCATGTCGGCACTGTGGACGTGAGATCAGCCTACACCGGCATTCAGGTCTGCAGGTAGAGTGGCTGTCTGTTCCCAAAAGTTCCAACTCCATGTAAATGCCATTCAAGCACTGCCGTAGATCCGTAGCTTTCCCCCCTCAGCCTTCATTCCATAGACGTGCTATGACGTGCTCCTTCCTTCCAGCATGGCCGACAGCGAAGAGCCATGCACCACGTGCATCTTGTCCACTCATACGAATCCCTAAGCTGGTTTGCCTAAATATAGGGGCCTAAAGAATCACCAATACTAGTTTGGGGGTTCCTGAGTATAATTATACCACTATCTCCCACAACCCTTTTAAAAAAATATGAAGGCCCCTACATCAATTAGATTTTCCCTCCCCTCAGGTTCGAAACCGTCACCTAACCACTAGACCGAATTTCTTAAGCACAACCACCACTCCCCGGCTCGGGCCAAGGTGTGATCTACGTCGCCGAGCCGTGGAACATCACTCTTTATGGTTTCAACTTCATCCCAGGGCTGCAGCCACTCGTCATGCTTTTGAAGCCTTCGGTGGTTTCCAGCCCCTGAGTTGGGTTCTTGGGTTTCGGTTTTGCAAACTTATAGGGGCCGTCACAATTACCCATACCTATTTTGGGGGGAGTTCCTTATGATATTATAGTACAGTATACCCCAAAACCCTATTCTAATTATCAAGGCCCATGACGAGACTCCTGCTTTATTCCCTAGTAAACGTCAACCGAGAGCCCTACTCTCTAGACCATCAATTCAGTAGAAGATAATCATGGGACGAAGAGATTCGCGCCGGGAGTGCCCGAGCCGGCCTTTCATCACAAGTAAAAAGAAGTGCATGATCAATTAAGGGCGCAGGCTTCGAAACCCAAACCCATACGAACTTTTCGTCAGCAAGGGATGAAGGGTTTGGGGTTTACGGAGTTGACCTCCATATCTTCCCGTGACTTGTGTGCTTGGCCCTGTTGCGTGAAGGTGCAGGAAGATTTCCCGCAGATTTTCCACAAGACCTATAAGCAGCAGTAGCCGGGAGTGAGTGAGCATGTTGGGCAACACGTGCATCATTACCAACCGGATAGCTCATTCTAAAACCGTTCGTTCAGGAACTTGAGGAACAGCGTACGGCCCAGAAAAGAAAACCGTAGGAACATGAAGAACAATGTGAGATGCACACGGTTTTCCCATTGCAAGGTGTCTCTTCAATGACTTCCTTCGTGTAGCACCGGCTGCATGGCAGCATGGGTGCGCTCGGTGCCTAAAGCGATGGACCACGTTTGGACGCAATTCCCAAATTCCAACCCCTGAAGCAGATGGGATGGCCCCAAAGCTCCAAGTTGCATCGGCCCACGAAACCATGGGAAAACCTTCGTTCCTTTCATCCTGAGTTTCCCAGTTATCTGATCGCACAGTCCCTAAACCCTAAACCCTAAACCCTAAACCCTAAACCCTAAACCCGGAACTCCAAAAGAAATCGAAAGAGAGCCCAGGAACTGCCAACGGCCGCGGCAAGAGACTTGTCAAACCCTTTACTCA